TCAGACTTAGACATCAAATAAGAAACGCTTTATTTCTAAATGTGACAAGATTTGTATAGAAAGAAGTTCGAGTTTCCTTGAAACAGGAATAATTTTCTCGATAAAAAGAAATCCTTCAAGTTTTCAAGGACTTTTTACTTAAAAACATATACTAAAAAATCTAAAAGCAAAATTTTCATTCTGTTGGATATGCTTTTTATAATGATTTATAACTAAGCTGAAATCATCATATATGTTTTAAAATGCTTATCTAATGTTGTTAATGTTCAATCTAAAAAAAAAAAACAGATTAAGATAAGTAGAATTGTAGTAAATGAAGGGTGTATATAACGTTGGCTTTATAAACACGATTATCAATCGATATGAACTAAAAAAAGAACAAAGGTTGTTATATTATTTTTGAAAGTGCTCAAGTTTTCGGTGGCGTTTGAAAAAAATTAATGAGCTTCACATTAAAATGTAAACGTTTTCAAGAACTGTTTTTGTCGTTCTTTCTTTTACCTTCTTTATAGTAAATGTTTTTCGATACAATTATATCAGTAAAGTTGAAATACTGAACAAAATATAGCTTGTAAAAATCCAATCACATTTTCCTCAATAGATAGAACTTGCATGCAAAGTAATCGTTTCTAACGTAAATGATTTCGATTATATTTTGAAGACGTGTGAACCTCATATGACACACACAAAAGTGATTAACGATCACGCACTTCTCCAAGTGAGAAATGAATATTCATCATTTATATTTGTTTAATTACAGAGATAGCATATCATGAGATTCACAGCTTTTATATAAAAAGAAAATGTCTTTCTCTTCTCTGTATACGTTGCGTTTTGGCGAAAAATCTTGATGATAACTTATATGTTTGATCTCAATTACTACAATTAAATTTTTTTATTCGTGCAACACAAATAAGAAATAACGAGTGTTAAAATATGAGTCAAGAAAAATGTGACGCCACATCTGTTTCTTCAAATAATTGTGTTTTTCTCATGGAAAGAAAAACATCTGCCATCATGATGAGTTGTCTTGCTTGATTTAATAGTAGAATATTTCTGCGAAAGTATTTGACTGAGCCTTTAGCTTCACTATCATATAGACTGAAAATCGTCGTTTAAGAAGAAAAGAAAAACAAGGTCCTGTTTGAAAACATGTCTCGTCCTTTAAAAGTTTCTTGCGTATTGGATCTTCCTATAAATTACTTTGGCATCATGCTATTCTTTGAATACAATCTCATTTTTACCTAAAAATATTACTCGACTTTTTTAAAACGTTCCAAATCTAAGAACTTCTAGTCATTATCAAACTTATCATGATTTATATCTAGAGTATTACATTAACGATCTCATTATCAATGCTTGAATTAGTAATTCAATTAGTAAATTTTTAAACATTCTTAATTTTTCTTTCTCATCTATAAGGATTACCAAATACTCTATAGAATAACATCAGCATGGCCTCATCTCTATCCATCCAATTATTATCTATACAAAAATATATGGGATGGTTTATGATAATTTATGTTGTCTTTGGCAATATTGGCAACCTATGTAACTGTCTCGTTTTTCGTCGAAAGCAACTTCGATCGAATTCGTGCTCATGTTATCTATTAGTAGGTTCTATTGCGAATATTATATTATTGATATTTTTGGCATCAACAAGTATTTATGGGATTGAGCAATCTGATCCCTCTAATACTTCATTAATTTTTTGCAAATTACGCGGATATATTGGACATATTAGTATTATGCTCTCACGTTCTTTGATCGTTTTTGCCTGTTTTGACCGTGCCTGTATCTCATCTAGTCGAGTATCCATGAGAAATCTTGGTAGGTTACGAATTGCTCGGACACTTATTTTGTTCTGCACTTTGTTTTGGTTTGTCGCCTCTATTCATTTACTCATTTGGAATACGATTATCGACGGTAAATGCACAAAATCAAGTCTATACAATACTATCTTCGGAATTTATGTATTTATTATTGTCGGCGTAGCACCACCTCTCCTCATGATCATATTTAGTGGGATTACATTACATAATATACGTCTTGCATACAGACGTGTTCATCCAGCATTACATGGCATGCGTCAACGTGATTTCCAATTGACACGAATGTTGGTTGCTGAAGTAGTCGTATATGTTTTGTCCACACTACCCTTTCCATTTTATTCTTTGTACAGTTCAGTAACAATGACAGTGGCCAAAAGTGATGATCAACAAACAATAGAAGGATTTATTAGTTTTATTACAGGGACTTTTCTTATCTATGTCAATCCATCTTCAACATTCTACATATATTTAGCTACATCTAGAACATTTCGAATTGAATTCAAAGCAGCTATTAATAAAATAATGCAGCGAGTTTTTGGATCTTAATAACCACCTTAACTGTCAATTACTAATGCATATTATCTAGTGTCATTGCCTTTTTTTTTCTAAATCTAAATTGATGTTGTACAAATCACCTATAAATGTCGAGTAGCGTGTTATTTAAATATAATCGAGAAATTATTCATCATAGATTTGTGGGTTACAGTCTTCAAAAAAAAACGGACAGTAGAATATAGTTTACTATACGCTAGATAACATGTATATATAGCATCGAATTCAAGTAATTATTCTTGATATGCTCAAATCCTTTGTAAATATTTTCAACAGAGAAGTTTTCAAAAGTTTTTAATACCGGATATGTAATCGATAAGAAAAATTGTTATTCATTTGGTATTAATTGATAAAATTTTATTCTTGTTCATAATATTCGTATTGTGGTTGATGAAAAATTAACCTGTATTTCATTCATACCATAAACGGATCGTATTTGAACCGTTTAGTCACTAATATGTATGATACTTGCATATTACGTAAAGACTTAATTCTGATAAAAACTATGTTTTACTGAAATATGTGTCATTCGAGTCAATTTTTTATACTGATTCTGAGTACAATAATTTGAGTTAATTCGCAAACAAAAAATGCGATTCTTCTTATATTTTGACAGTGAAGAGAATGTTTAATTTAAAGTGACAGACAAAAGTTTAGAGCACTTTTAATGTTTTATTAATTTTTCACTATGAAAGAATTATTTTAAATTCTTTTTCTATACTATTCGATACAGAATTCAACAGGCAATATTTTAGTAAAAAATACTTTTGACTATTCTTAATGGTAATTAATTAACGTTAATTATATTTAATCAATATTCATTAATAAATATAGAACAGATTCATATTAATTTTTAACACTTAAGTACATCATTTGGAAGAACGTTGAAACTTGAAGAAAATGGGAGATTAAATTTGTTAAAATGATTCGTTCTAGTAAGATTGTAAACAAATTAGTAAGTTTTACTACTTCACTACACTATCATTTTACTACGATTCAACTTTAAAAATCAACTTCAAAGCTTGATATTTCGCGTATTTTGCAGAGCAGATTTAATTCCTTCAAATGAGATCTCGCTAAATCCAATGCCACATATTATTCGATCTTTACATCATTTTTAGTTCAGGTGTCGGAGATGAGAAAACCACAATTGACCCACAGCCATTCATCCCGCACTCACAAGACAAAAGCGAATAGATTAAGCATTATTATGTTAAAAAAAAAACATTATAATTTGTTGAAGTCTACCATCATATTACAACATTAAGTATAGTTTGGTGAAGAGAAAACAAACACTTCCAGAAATTTGTTAAGATTTCATCTACGAACATGTGTCAAAACAGGATAAAGCAAAAAGACAACTATAACATATAATGAAATCCATATACACAACAATAAATTGTTTAAAATTGTTTTATAATCATATGGTCGTCGTATGATATCCGAATGAATGATCTAAAAACAAAATAGTATGCATTTTTTCTACAACAACACTTCAATTTCATAGCAGAAGCTAGGTGTAAAACTTTCATATGAAAATCACTTTTTCTTTTATGAACATTTTCTATCGAAGAAAAACCAAAAAGTACTTGATTAAAATGACAAAATGTATTGTTTTATAGCTGTTCGTACAATACCAAAAAAGAGCTCTATGATTGAATATCTATCAACAACTGAAAAAGTATCACATACGGTTAGCAGAAAAAAGTACTTGCGGCTAGTTTCTATTTCATAGAAAGTGTGAAAACTATGGCTTTTATGTAAAACCCATTGGTTTGGTTACAAATCCGTATTCAGTCATGTCTCGATAGGTTACATGTATGAACATTTTACATTCGAACAGTTCTACTCATAGATTTTCAAGGTTTCAGAAATTTTTGACATTTAATTAATAACAATACTAAAATACTCAATTATATTATTTCATTTAGTAATATTGAGAAAAATATTGAATTGGTTTAACAAAACGAACGACTGAATGTTAATTGAGTTATAAATAATTTCAATCCAATCATTTTACTTACTTTTATATAATATAATTTAAACGTCGTTGTATTTTAGTTCGATAATTAACGAGAGATTTATGAAGTTCTCTCTTGTAAAATTTTGATGGTAATATAAATACAACAAATGTAAGCATAGGTGGAATAAATGAAATAAAATATCCAATAAGAAACAACCATGCATCATTTGTTGATTTCATACATTTTGATACAAATACCAGAATTAGACGTGATAATGCAAGAATAACTAATACAATAGGAGCAGTTTAATTGAATTGAATATTTTAAAACTAGATGGATAAGTAATAATACACCATAATCATTTATCATCTTCATTTTCTTCATCAATTAAACGTCGATAAAAAGGATCATAAATAGAAGTACCAATAATGATAATCAGAAGAATAACAATAACTATTTTTGCTATTTGTTTACTTTTTTTCTTATGAAAATGAACATCCTTTATTATTATTACTGTTCATTCAATAGCAACAAATGCATTTAACCATTGATCCATATTAAGACAAACTTGTAAAATACAATCGAGCGATATACATTGAATTTGTAAAAATAATTTATTAGATATAATGGCCATTTGTGTAAGAATAAGTATCTAAAATTTCAATCCAAATATAATCGTTGTAAGTAAAATAGTAATTGATGAACCTAATAAATATAAACCACAACCAACTTCACATATAATTTTATTCTTAAATGTAATCAAAGCTAAAATTCTATTGATCAATCCTACAATCATAAAGATTATAGTTAATGTTAAACTAATTTTTACAATTTTTGATAAACCAAATCCATTTGAACTAAATTGACATCGTGTTCCATAAAAACATGCTGAACAAATACACATAGATCTTTGTGGACAATCTGGAGTGTCTTGAAAACATTGTCCATCATTTTCACAAACACTTTGACCTAAACAATCAAATTTCATATTTATGATTAAAGTCAAAACAATTTGCTAAACGTTGAAAATCATCATAAAAACAAGAAAGATTTAATGAATAGTTTTGACATGGTAAATGATAATATTTAATACGATGAATAACATGCATTTGAACAAAAGTTTCATTAAATAATTCATTTATATGTTGACAACGATCTGATGGATTTATCATTTTAGTAATTGTTATTGATTGTTTATAAGTTTTCTGAATAACAACTAAATAATAAACTTAATTTAAAAGTTCAATAAAAACAAGATGAAATGGTTGTGATCAATCAATGATAGGTAAATGTTGTGTAAATGGAATTATTCGAAAAGTAGTTGTTCTCATCGGTGTACCGTCATTAATAACTTCTATGAAATAAATAAATATCGATTGAGTTAAAATAATACTATTTTCAAATGATAGAATTATTTTGTTCTCAGCTATTTCACATCGATTACCAATATAACCTTTTGAACAAATACATACATATTTTTGATTCGATATCATATATTCATCAACAAGAATACATTGTCCACCATGTTGACATGTTAAATTCTTATCCATTTGATAAATTGTATTGATAAGAAGACATCGATCACCAAATTTATTAATAGGACAAACACATATAGATCATGTGTAAGCTAATATATCAATACATATTGAATCAGATGAACAAATACAAGTATATTGAATAGTACAATATCGTCCAGACCATCCTCGATTACATTGACAAAAACTAGTATTTTGTTGGTTATTTGAATATTTCACATATTTTCCATGAATACATTGAGAACGTGAGCAAGTTTGAATGTTATCATTAATTTGTGGAATATCAACTCTATATGCGATACGATAAATAGGTAAAAATGAAAATTTTATTCGAAATAATAAACTTCCTCGATAGATTAATGAAATTTTTTTCATAAATATCAATATGTATTGAATAATTTTTTGTTGAATCTTTTGGTCGAGTTGAATAGAATAAATAAATATTAAATTTAATTTTACAATCTCTTATTGACAAATAAATGAATTGTTCATATGAATGTATAAGTCTTTCTTCACTATCATCAATAAGTGAAATAATTATTGCAAATAATGTTGACCATGAATCTGATAATGCTCGAAATTTAATGGTCAAACTCATTCGTTCATTTTGATATTGACACATATTACCATAAAAACTAGGTGGACAAAAACATGTATTTGTTGTTAAATTCTTTTCATTATTTAACCAGACACGTAAATCAAAACCACGATGACATCGAAGTTCATATTGATGAGACGTTTCTCTATCAAATGAACTTGAAAATATGGGTTTTATCATATTCTTAGTTTGATCTTCGACTGTTTTGCTCATCTAATCCAATGAAAAATATTTAATTTGTTGTTTTATCTTTGTTTTTGTTTCGTGACATTAAAACTGTTCGACATCAGAATGAATAGATGAATCAGACGAAAGACAAATACTTTGAAACATAGAAATATTTTTCTCATTTTTTACACAAAATCTTTCATCATCTTCATGATCACAAGTTGCAAAATCATTACATAAAAATTGAAAATAAATGCACGGGTGATAACTAGAGTCTATGCAATAAAAATTATCATAAAATATTGTGTGATATTTTTCTTGACATAATGTTGGTTCGTCAGTAGCACCAAGACAATCGATTTTACCGTCATTTGCTTGCTTAATAGGAAGCCAAATGAGTTCATTTGTATAAAGTGAAACACATTTGTGATGATCTAATGAATAATTTAATGTTGAAGATAAATTACAACCAATTTCATCTTCACCATGTGGGCAATTCCATAAACTATCACAACGAGTATAAATATTAATACATGACCATTGTTCACATTCTTTTTCATCTGTTACATTTTGTTCTTCGATAATTATCGGACTCAGTTCAATAAATCTATCACAAATAGTTTGAAACGAAATATTTTTTCTGACATAGTGTGTATGAAAATCTTCATCGTCACATCAATTTTGATCTTGAAATCTACACTGACAGACTCCATCTTTAACAAGTGATGAATGTATGTATTTATTTATTTATTAGCTATTTCACATTTAAAAAGATGTTTTAAAAGTTCTGTTAAATTAATGTAATTTATTTGTGCTATATTTTCGTCATCAGCATAAGGACAATCGTTTTTATGGTTCATGAGACGACTTATTGAAATACATTTTGATGAATTAAAACATTGGTATATGTTTGATCTGTTACAAATTGCAGAACTATAATTCGTAATTAGATTCAATCTCTTCAGATCTTCAAATAGTGTGTTTAAGGGTGGCTCATATCTATCTTTCTATGTAGTAGAAAAAAATCATTAAATTGTATAATGAAGTAGGACGGAAACATGTTTTATTTTTGAATAAAACCTTAGGACGATCAATATGATACTTATCATAATAAGAATTGTTATAGCATGTGTAAGGTAGTACAGAATTGCTATCGATCAAATATAATGAATCTTGTTTTATATGTGCAAGGTAAATATGACCAAAAACCAGAGGAGTATTCGGAATATAAAACATCTCTGGACATGTGTTATGAAATCTCTACACATACTGATTTTTCACAAATTTCAATACACAATGACTCTTCTGAACCTGGTACTTCTAAGAGACATTTGAAAGCTGACCAACATTGTTCAGATATCGAATCGTCTTTAGTAGAATAGATCGCTTTCAAAAGTAAGATTTTACGTTGATGCACACAAGAACTTGTCATAAATGTATACTGACATATCTTTTCTTCATATTTAAATGATGGTATATCTCTATTACATTTGTAATTTTGTTCAATATTCATTAAAATTTCGTCAGAACCATCAAGACAATCAAAAATGTTAGAATCATCTCGAAAAAATGACTGCGGTATACATTGTCCATTAGTACATCGATATTCATTATCATTACATTCATTTATTTCAAGTTGCCAACAATATTCTTCATCAAATTTATCATCGAGACAATCTACTTGTCCATCACAAATTTTACTCCAATCCAAACATGTTGGAAAAGGACCACGATTACATTGTAAATGAGTATAACAAGTAAAATTAGTACGATTATATTCATATGTATGATAATAAGTCATTTCATATTGACACATAGAACCAAATCTTGGTAGTGTACAATTATAAAAAATTTCTTTTTCTAAAAATATATTATTTGATATTGATAATTGATTTAAATAGAATTGATAATGCTCAACAATATCTATTGGTGCTGATCAAAGGTATAATTGTTCACTAGTAATATTCCATTTTGAAAGTTCAACAAAAGTAAACTTTGGAAAGACATTATTAGTTTCGATATGAAATTTTGATGAAAATTCATTCATACAATAAGATATAATTTCATGATTAACATTTACTTCATCAATAGAAGCAGCAATACGTAAACAATCATGTTGTATTACATTATGATTGTCACTTTCACTTTACCCAATCTGTATAATGAAGATTGATATAAAGTGTAGCAAAAATTAAATATAAGAATATGAAATTGAATAGATATCTGATATGAAACATTATCTACTTATAATTTAATGACAAATGAATACATTAATAACTATTTATAAAGTTCATATATAGTTATATCATTGTTTTTCCTCTAATATAAGTGCTATTAAAAATTATGGATGTCATTACAATTCATAGTAAACTATTTACGAATTGCTGATAAAAAAAAATGTGAATATTCTAACAGTTTATTCTATTATAGATAGATCTCTCGATATATTAAACTTAGAATTTTGAATAAAATGAGCTCACATAAAATAAATGTAAGAAAAAAAAAATAAACGATTTTCAATGACTTTCATTTAATAAAACAATTATTCAATGTGCATCATTGTTATTACTTGCATATAACAGTAGTACGATTCAAAATGAAATTAAGAACAATAGTTTATATGTTTTTTTTTTCTAGAACTAAAAATTTGAAAGATATTTGACGTATTTTTAATATAAAATAACATTTGTTTAATGATATATTTAGAATAAGAGAAACAAAGTAATATTGTTGTATCAATATTAATTCTTTAATTTATTAATTGATGAACAGACGTGTGTGTTAATGCATTTATAGGCAACATTTTTTTTGTTCCAAAACAAAAAAAACACGAGCCGATTCCATTAGTGACGCAAATTCATCTACACTCTCTTCCTATTTTCATCTTTCTATTTACTGATTTTTTTATGTGATTCTTTGATGACTCTTAATATCTACGCATATTAAATTGATATAATAAAAACAAACATCTGACTATCGATCAATCACTTTTGATAGATGAGAAATAAATCCTTAAGAAATAACTAATCTTTACTAGAATTTTTCAATCATTAGTACATCTATGACACCGAATTCAAACATCAACTTGCCATGCTCGAGGACAAACACTTATATCCTTACACAATTCTATTGACTTTTTGACTCATTGTAAGTGTTTTCTGCAAAAGTCAGATAATAGAATTTCGATCTAAAATTCAGCCGAAAACTCAAGTTGCCGTTATTAAATCGGGTAGATTCCTCTTTAACATATTTTATATTAGTATAATCAAGCTAAAGAACAAACATATAAGCTCCACATTTCAGCTTCAAACGTGCTGTGGTGACAAGTTTTTTTTTTTTCGTATATTAAGATCATGAAGACATTCATATTTTAGTTTATCCACTATATGTTTCAAATGAAATACTTAATTCAAAAAGTAGGGATATGGATCTGTGTGTAGAGAAGAACTGTGTCAAATTTTGTTTCGGTTTCACATAAAACAAAGATCAACTAGTCATTGATATATTTGCACTTTCATCAACATATATGTTTAATTAATATTACAGTTAGATATATAAAAAAATTCGTCTCATACTGTTTAATCAGATATTAGTTTCATTGTTCACATCTTGCCTCATAGAAGTTGACTTGTATAAAATTAAAATAGTATTTAATCAACTAGTCCTGATGCATTTTTAGACACTGTTGAAAGTTTTCTTATTTCATACATATTTGGATAAAATTATTCTTATAGAACTACGATACACTGTTCTATATTTAACAATGACGAAGATTATGAGTAAATGTGAATACTCCACACATCCTTAGAAATATTTTTTTTATAAGTGATCTTCTTTATCTGTATTCTTCATTTCGATAAAACTCTTATTGAATTAGTTGCATGATTTTTTTTTCATTGAATTAAACAAAATGGTGAGAGTTCACGGCGTAATAAAGCATATTAAAAAAATTATATGGAACACAATAAATATGAAATGTCATGGTTTGAAAATGATGAATAATTAGTGTCCAAATATTCTTATACATAGAAATCATCTACTATTAGTTTCAGAGCTCAGATAAAAAACTTCTCGTCGAAAAGTGAGAGTCTTGTTTGATTTTCACGATGAAAAAAGTCTCTTCACTAATCAATTAAAAAAAAAGAAAAGAAACAAGTGCGATTGCTTCCACTAGAATGAATTCAACCTTCGATTTACAAATATCCCTAGGAAAATATAAAAAAAAAAAAAGGTTGTTCTCCTCTCTGACCTCAAACATGAAAACTGAAAGAAAAAGAAAAATCAAATTGAATTTTTCTTATTGATTCTAAAAATAAATTTCTTCTGATTTGTTCGAGAGCCTTTCATATTATTATTCTTACAAAAGTAAAAGAAAATTGTTGTAAAATAAATACAAAAAATAATAAATGAGATTCTCGTTGATTAATACTCAGCCTACAAACACAGTAAACATGTTTTTCTTTTATTCCTTTTTCTACCAATGTCAAGGTAACGAAGAAAAAGAGAAAAAAAAAAGCAGAGAATTGTAACAAAGACGAAAACGACAAATCATTACTTAACTGATTGCTTTGAAGTTCATACAAACGCAAAAATATCTATCATGGCTGGTGTAGCAAAATTATTTGATGGTCATATTCTTGATAAATCGAATGGATCAATTGACCTTAACGATGAAAAATATAAAGGCAAAGTAATTGGTCTTTATTTTAGTGCTCATTGGTAAATTGTCATTCTGTTATATATGTTATTTAATGTATGTTTTGAGGATTTATTTTTATTTTTCTTAGGTGTCCACCATGTCGTGGTTTTACACCAGTATTAGTTCAGTTTTATAATTCACATGCAAAAGATAAAAATTTTGAAATAATATTTATAAGTTCTGATCGTGATGAAAATTCATTTAATGAATATTATAAAGAAATGCCATGGTTAACATTAGATTTTAAAGATCGTAAAAAAAAAGAAGAACTAGGAAAAAAATTTAATATTACTGGTATTCCAACATTAATTTTATTGGATGGAGATTCAGGCGAGATTATATGTAGTGATGCACGTAGTCAACTTCAATTCGAAGATAAGAACGGAGAAAAATTTCCGTGGAAGTCATCATAAAAACAAAAACTTTTCATTTATAATCTTATTTTATTATCGATCAAATATTATATTGTTCATTTTTTTTTTTCCTAATTTTGTCTCATACTACGCTTTTAAATATATTTAAATAAAAAACAATGGATTAATTACAATGTTTGCTTCTTGATACATGTTTAATCTAATTTATCTTTGATGATATTCAAATGTTAGAAAATCTTGAATTTCAAAGGAATTGATTGTGAAATATAAAATATATTAGAGAAATATTTTGTTGATCTCTTCTTAATTGTACGACTTCTTTCTTAAGAAGTATCTTAGACAGCGAATATATTTCAGTTGTATTACTTTTGATTATGTCTGAATTAAAGTGGTCGATTTACGATATATATTTTCGAACAGAACACAAAAAAAAAATAAAATCGAATTATTTTTAAATTTAAATTGTTGAATTTTTTATTCATTTAAGAATCAGATTTTCAAATGATTTGAATAATCATTTGTTTTTCATGTTCAAACCTATTCGATGAAAATCTCATGTTGAGCTACTTAGTTAACATGCATGCATGATTTTATGTTCTGTTCGTCTACTTGAATTACAATTATCGGAAAAAATATTATGATTGTTCATTAAAATTAAACACAACATAACACATAAGGATTATTGAGTACGAGTTTTCTACTTCTGTCAAGACTGAATCTGTTCAAACATTGCAATCATTCAATGACTTATTATATGTATGGTTGATTGGGTAGATCAGTGTAATGTAGTTGAAGAGTTTGAATTGAACTTGGATGATATGATCTTCACTGGTATGTCTTCATTATTAGACTACTGAGGTTTGTAGGTGCATGGATCATTTTTTTTTGTCCTTACACATGTTCACACCCACACCTCCTTCATTATAATAAGATCACGAGCATGAAAGATACATTCGAAAACTAGAAGAGGACAATATTATTGATCAACGAAACAAACGCTCGTCTTGAGAATAGGAAAAATCGATCGAATAGAATTTATTGATTTGTAAAAAAAAATAAAGATGTATGTATTCATTAAATGGTTAAAAATTTTAATTTGAGAACATTATAAATATCTTAATCAATATTTGATGCAATGCTATTGCAATGAAGTTTAATTTTGTGCGAGTTTGTGGACACTTAATTATTTTTTTTATTAATAATTGACTACAAAAAGGTATGCGTGTAATAGCTACAATTGACAGATACTATTGGTTCCACATAATAGACTAGTTGGAATAAAGAAGATACAAAACAAAATTTATGAAACAGTTGACTGTATTAAACCACCATGACCGGAGTATTTCTTTACTACTACTCATACAGTGTTGAACCACTTTCAAGCACGTTGCTCATAATAGAACGAGAATTTGTTATCTATCGCCATGTTAGATAACGGCAACAGTTCCTTGTTGAAACTATGTCAAATATTCTTGATATGGATGCTATCGTCAGTGAGAACATAGAGAAGAACAACAAGCCCTTCACTCTTGTTTTTATACTTGTCATAGCTATTTAAAAAGATGTGCTAAAAATACATGCATTCTTTTAACATCCTTTTCTATCGGTTTATTCCTTCCTTTTATCACGACTCCATTAAAATAAGATAGATGTTGCTTTTGCTCACCTAGTAATGTAGCCAAAGAAAAACAAATCAAAACTTAGTGTGTCATTCCATTCGTTTACTCCATCACACGTTTAACCGACCAATTAAATGGCCCTACACAAAAATCTAGACACTCGGTAGATTAAGCTACATTATTGTCATATTAGGCACGCTAGTACTCTATTCGTGTAGTTATTTTATCGATGGCTTTTCTAGAACTGTTGTGAAGGGTAAATGGTTAATACAGAGCAACACATATCAATCATGCCACGAACTGATATCCTTTCATAAAAAGACTCGAACTCGTTCATTCCAGAGGTGTGGGTGTGAGGTACTATAAAGAACCCCCACACCAACCCACACTCCACAAAAATCATCTTCGACCTTGTGACGTGCTGTGAAGCTGTTTCTTAACGTAGACCGAGAAATAATTGGTTGTTTTCATAATTGGAGAGCTTTATCATTGCCTTTTCGACACCATGCATGTTTTATTCCTGTACCTTCCATTTTACATGGCTTTTGTTTGTTTGGAGAAATGACTCTATTAATTTTCTATTCATTAGATTGATATTTTGAGAAATTCAAATAAAATCTTGAAATATCCAAGATTTTATTAATAGTCATTTCTCATCATAAAGCTTTTTTCTAAAGATGAATCCATGAAAACAGAGAGAAATTTAACAATTTATCGGATAAAGATGTTGCCTAATTGATGATGATAATACATTAAAAAGATATTATTAATGAAGTCTCATGCATCATTCTATGCTAGGTTGTTTTAACGGTGAAAAATATATGAAAACTAATTTATAATGTCTTTTGAATGTGTTTTTGTGGTCAAAAAAGATACATCTCTTTCCATTAAATTTCTGCATGTTTTTACAAGGGAAACATTCATGCAATTTTCGTTGTTTTTTGTTCGAAACCGGAATAAATTCTGTATCTCGTTTTTTTTTCCTAGTATATACATTGAATCATTCATACATCATTAGAAACATTCGAAAAGCCCTTCTTTTAGTGGTGCTCACAATATGCATCTCGTTGATGTCTGCAATAGCAGGTTGCAACTAGTTCGATCATCATGCGTTGCTTTCCGAGCAAATCATCTAACTCAAATAATATTATTTCAGATTCTAATCTGACACATACAATGTCATGTCATTCACCATTTTATATTCGCTGCCATTTTTTCTGTTTTATCGTGACTTCACATTCGAATATTTTATTATAGAAATTACACTGTTAGAAACCGAGACTTTTCTTCTCTACATTTTGGCAACATTGTAATTTATAAACGCACCGTGATACATCAGCTCGGTTGGACCTTGAAATTTAAGAATGACTTGATAGTTGCTATCCGAATATTGAATGAGTGTGCTATCAGTCGTTGTCACCTCCGTTTCTTGTTTATTGAACACTCGATAGACATGTGATATGACATTTTTTAGAAGGTGATTGTCAATGTCAATCATGTAGGCTTGTTGTTTTTGTGTGAATGGTGTTTCAATGATAATCGTCAAGTTGTTGAGCGGATAGAACCAGAATAAATGGATTGAATCACATGAATTTGAAATATTTGTGTTAGTCAAATCGAGTGTCGACGATTTGCAATCATTATCAAAGCTGACCATACCTGAGCACATGTCGTGTATAACAAATTGAGGATCACATGAGTCATCAACGTTGCCTGTAAAGGATACACTCATCAGGACCGTTGTTAGCATCCAAGCTGCAAGCAGTATGTAGAAATTAATAGCAGAAAACATTGTGACAAGGAATACCTTGTTCGATTTTCACACAATGCGATTAACACAAAGAAGCAATGCAAAGAATGACAACACAGAAAATAGAAACAGATGTCAGGGATCTCATACACATGCACACAAGAGGAACGATCAAATTACAAAAAATACTTAATCATCATTATCTTCACTTTAAAAGCAGTGCCGGTTCTAATATTTTCATTATGTTGAACTAATATTCTTCTCTACAAACTAATGTCCGCGCCAAAATCAAAGAAGAATAGATGTAAGCTCAATAATTCGAGAATTGCAATCATTAGTGACCTACGATTTTCAGCAATCGAAAGAGGAGAACTCAGCATGTCTTTTTCTCGGAAAATGTTTAAGAGTGTGTCAGTGGGGTAAGAGTTCGTATAATATATTCACTCACTCACTTCCACACACACATCGCAATCCATTTCTTTTCTCATTGTGACGTAGTGTCATGACTTGGAATTATCCTTATTCACTGAACTGATTCTGTTGGATATTTCCTATGACATCATCTTCGATTGTACTATTTTATTTGAAGTTTTTCTATGTTGTTGTTTTCCTTTTTTGTCTGTAGAATATTCCTTTATCGTTCTTTAAAATACTCCCTCTATCACACTATCTCTATGTATATATGATTCGTTCTTTGCCTAGAGGTGTATGTTCACGTACCTCAAGACGTGACACTCATACTACTTTGAAATATACAATTTAGACTTCAATTTATTCTGAATTAGATCTTTATGCTAATGAATTATATAGAATACCTATCGAGATATGGGTCAGAGTGTGTGTTAGGAAATTTCATCGATCATAGGAGTGAGAAACGTTATTGATAAGATCAAGTTGGAACTAAATATGATACAAAATTATTTATTTTTTCATTGTTTAATGAATACAATCAATAATCAATGTGATGGCCGTTCGGGCTCTTTACTGCACGCAGTCGAAATGCATACGACTATAGAAGAGTTCCAAATATATCACTGTTAATTTTCATTTTTGTCAAAACATTTGAAATGTGTGGTGTGGGTGTTACTATTATCTTTCACATCTACTTCACATCGACACTCATGCGTAGAATACTAGAACATCGAACGAATGATACATATCACTGACTTCACTTTATTGATCATGTAAGTGAACCTAATAAATTTTCGCCTAAACTTAATTTATTGGAATCTAACATATTCATGTCATCGGTAGAATTCGTCGATTAAAATGAATATTCCATTTCGATTATTCGATTTATTGATATTTAAAAAAATGTAAGAAAAACGTGATACACAAATTTCTAACTATAGGAAAAATAATACAATGAAGGATTAGAGTGTTTAATTAAGAGTAAAAGAGGAATAATATAGTAAAATGGCTTAATATTCATAAGGTTAATGTGTGATTAATAATAGTTCATGGATTAGCAAGTTCAGTAACTTCTGTTTGTGACAGTTCTCGATTATAAATATAGAGCTCATCGATTGAACCCTGATAAGCAGTATCTATAGAACCATAGTAACAACTTAAGCCATAGCCTATATAAAGTTGTGCAAATGTACCACTCGCACTAAATGATACACTCCCAGTAGCACCAAAACGAACTCCATTGGCATACAATGTGTATCCATTTGATGAACTATATGTCAATGAAATATGTGTCCATGTATTATGCTCTATAAATGGTCCTGTCATCAACGATGGACCGTTATAAGAGCTGCTGACAAAGAGCTGTCCCACTAATCCATTCGATGAGTAAATACCAAGCAAATTTTCACATTGGTATAAGTTAGAACTTGCAGATATCGTCTGAATAATGGAAAAACTGCTGATTGTCGATGGATTTATCCACAAAGCAATTGAAAATGATTTACCATTAATAGTGCCCTGAGGAATCTGATAAAACCCATAAGCTCGAAAGTAGGATGATGATGATGATCCAAGAAAACTCATTGCTTGATTGACACGTCCAGTAACTATGACTGTATTAGTCGAACTCCCATTTAATCCGTTAGGCCCACTATCAATAGTTGGACTTGGTGTATCAAATGAATAATAAGCCATTAAGGATGCATCTCGTAGAATTTCTGTTGAAGATTTTACTTTTGTTGTTAAGAAAACATTATCAATATAACCGTTAAAATAATTTGTAGTAGAATAAACTTGAGTTGAACCAATATGAATACTTCCATTTTTTCCTTGGTAAGGCTCTGCATTTGACTTAATAGCGTCTTGAACTCCATTGATATATAATATTTGTTGTCGTGTTTCATAATTGTAGACAAATGCAATATGATACCAATTAGAATTTGATAAAGTCGTTGAACCAGACAAATCATTCACGGTAAAACCAATATACAAGCGACTATTTCGGATAATTAAATACAAGCATTGATTAGAACAGGCTGAACATTGACATTGACCAAATATCCCACGATCAACGGTAGACGTAAGTGATGTAGGATAAATCCAAGCTTCGATGGTGAAACTTGTATAACTTAAATTAAAAAATGATGTCGAAACCAGAAATGATTGACTCGATGTTGAAACTAAATTAAGTGCTTGACCATGTCCAACATATGGTACACTAGTTGAAGTCGAAGAAGTATATCCTGCACTATTTATTAGTTGACCGTTATAAGCACCATATGAATCTGCTATTGTGTTATCGAAAGTCCAATAGGCAGAAACAATTACTGAAGCTACAGTAGTTGTTGTTGTCGTTGATTCTATACAAAGAAATAGCGAATAGATTAATCAGTTATTGAATAAATTCGCCATCACATAAATTTTACATTTCTTTCATTTATAGAGTGCACTTCCAGCATTATAGATTATATGTAAGAACTTTTTCGTGAATAATTTTAGAAAATTAAGATTGAGTTTAATGTTTAGAACAAGTCAAAGATGATCTATAGCAAATTTACCTGTTCGTCTCGTAAGTAATACACTCAGAACAATTGTAACGATAATAACAGTAGCAGTTATCAAAGATGCTGAAATACCCACTATAACCTTTTTTCTTGTTGACCATCTGCCAAAGAAATGAATAAGATTAGTGCAAATAAAAATGAAAAGAATGTTACTTTGATGTAGTGGGTACTTCATTGAGATTGCTTATTGTTGATGCTTGTTCTTGAATTGTTGGTTTGTATTTTTGCATATGAAGAGATGATGGAGGTACCGGTGAAGTGGACATCTAAGAAAGGTAAATAATTGGTTTATTAAGTTTTCAAAATATTTCATTTACTTTTGGATGATGTTGATTGGGATAACTGGTTTCTTTAATATGATTCAGACGAATATTTTTAGGTTCTTCCAATGTTGAAGAAGGTTTTCCTTCATGAACTTCACCATGAGGACGAGCACTTCTACTTATTTGTTTTTCGAAGGGCTGAAACAATAATACTACAGATTGTAGTTTTAGAAAAGAGATAAGGGTGTGAGACGCTGGGAGAGTGAGTTTGCGATGCAAATCGAGACCGAGACTTACAAATAAAACTTTGTGAGGATTGAAACCACAAGATAAGGATTTGCTGAGGCCCGAGTCAGGACTACACTTGATTTATAGAACTTATAAACGTTATCAAGAAAAAGAAAGGTTACCATTACCTGACTGGAATTGAAACCATGCAAAATCGATCTTATGAACCTCTATGTGCTGATATAGGTGTTTATCACTCTACATTTGTCAGTAAATCGAAGACTTTCACGTACATCCCTATCCTATGTTATTTTGAACGATAGTATGGTAATGGTAACACTAAAAGAATTGCTCATAAAAACAATGATAGACTCATAGTTTTTAAGGTAATTTCAAGGTATTCAGGTGTGTAGGTAGTTGTGCGTGCGTGTCTGTTGTTTAAGATAAGAACTACGTCCACCCGCAACAGACATACACACCTATTGGCACATCCACAGTTGCATCTTAAAGAGAAATCTAAACAGGAATTTTAGAAAAACGAATATAACAGTTTCAATATTTTATTTTGTTTCAATTGATTATAAATAAGAATTATCTATCACTTGCAATAGGCACGAAGTCTGTATTGACGACTTTGACAAATATTGAAATATAGAAAAAGTTTGAATGCATTATGAATATCAGTAGTGTAAGGTTATGATTCCTCCTGTATTGAAAAGCAATTCTGAGATAAAATCAAAACTCTTTTTTTTTATGGCTAGACAGATTTTCATGCCTTGATGTAAAACTACTAAGTATTTACTCGGCATTGAAGGATACTAAAGAATGAATTTTTTATAGAACAATATTATCAATGCATCAATATCATTATATATTTTCAATTAACGACGAACCTGGTTTTTAATAGACTGCTGATTTGGCTGTTGTTCAATATCGGATCGAAATTCATAATCATCTGAGTGAGCATGGATTGATCCTCGACGAACCATACCGATTTTAACTGAATGAAAGACTTTTTTCATTGTTCTACGTGTAAAGTGATGATTATTATTTGAATTTTTGTATTTTGGTTATAGAGTACAACTGTTTTTCTTTCTTATAAATTCTCCTATTTATTTAATATTGTTTTTAATTATATTCAATGTCAACATATCCAGCTGAAAGAGTAAGACCAAATGTACACATACAAACAATGTCTATTTGTGCTTTTCTGCTTACAGAAGGCGTTTAGAACAAAAGTTACTGTGATTTTTGGTTTTTGTTTTTTTTTCCTTTCTTATTATGTCTTGAGATAATATATAGAGAAACGTTTTTTCATCAGTAGGAAGCGATATATAATGGCAAGTGTAACAACAATACTGCTCTTTTTTTTTAAGAATTTGGTTCATTTTTAACAGACTTTTTTGACGTCGGCGAAACGAGAATATTGTGCAAATTTTATTTGATTGTTCTTCTTTCATTCTGTGCCACAGTTCATTAAAATTCAAATAATCACTCAAATCAAAGGAATGTGCATTGGATGGTTCGTAGGCTCTAGATGAATATTATTTAAATATAAAGCCTCGTATGGCTTTTTTATTATAAAGTTTTCATTGTTGACTTCATCGAATGAAAACAATTCATTGTTTGCTACATATTAGGCTCATTTGAATTTTTATTTTAATCATCTATGAAAAGCAAGGGATTATATCCAAAGAATATTATAGAAAGACTACTGAAATAATTATTTTCTTCAAAGACAATGCAATGAATCATATTGATGAAAAAATAAAAAGAATAATCTTTATAGAATTGCATATGAATATTCTCTAGAATGTTTGCTTCTCATAAACAATTTCATCTACTAGCAAAGACTTAGAATAGAGATTTAGACTAGAAGAGTGGAAAAAGTCTAGCTTCTATCTTACACTAGCACAATAGTTATCAGAATGTAAAGGTATAGGTTAATCTTCGCTTAGTTCAGGATGTGTGTGTAGGTGTGGATAAAAGCCATACTAACATCCACATCCACTTACATTGACAACCACATTATTGACTGGAAAATTTATTGGTCCAAACTTTTGTTGATACTTAGATCTGTTCAATCTAATAATATTGTAAAAGGTTAAATATTTAAAAACTTCCAATTTTCCGACAGTTTATGCAATCGAATCGACTTTTGAATATGAAGTATCTTAATAACGAAGCAATCTTTTCAGCTAAAATATGTTCTGTTTAATTCTCCAGTTGTTACTTAACCGATTGAAATTTCATAAAAATAATTGTAACTCAGCTTCAGAAGCATTAGGCAGTTCGTTTAATATACTATTTTGTATTTTATATAATAAATAAAAATAATAAACTAATGACCATATGTAAATGTTGTAATTCATTATCGTTAATAGAAGTAAAAAAATATACAAATATAATAAGATGATATAATGGTTTAGCACATTATATTCAAATTTCATTGCTTTCTATATGAAATGATATATAACAAATTTATAAACAAATCGTTATGGATATTTATCTTAAAAAGAAAATTGAAAATTCTTCACAAGATATTTTTCACCGATATTGACCTATGAAATAATGTGTATTGCTTGATTACGTTAATTTTTTTTGAGTAGATTCACCAAGATAATGAATAAAATTATAGAAAAATTATTCAACAAAACATATAATGGTTGAAGATAACTCTTGTTATTATCAAGGTCGATTTCTTTCTGATAGAGAAATACACTCGTTTTTTCTACACATAATAATACAATGTAGAAAAATAAATGTATTAATATCTTAATATTCTTTTATATCTTAAAATATCTACAATTATCAAATTAATTCACAATCGAACTACGTCATTGACGTTGATATTACATAATAACCTCTGCAAGTAATGACAAAAATCATTGATTTGAACAAGCAAAACCGATAAAACAAAATATGAAATTCTTCGAAATAAAAATAAGAAATAGATTGCATTTAATTCGAAAGAAACATATTAAAAGAAAAACTGGCAAACTTTGTTTTTTTTTCTTTTGTCCGTTCTTTCCACTTCGTGTTTTGTTACGACAACGGAACATGTAACTGAAAGGAATTTTCTACTTTTTTCTCTCTCTCTCTTACCCATAGATACCTGTTCATATTATTATTGATGATGAATGATAATATATTTAATTAATGTATGAAAAAATTAAGCTTAATCCACACATATAAATTGAGATGGGATGTGAGTGTGGATGTTATTCTACTCTTTAACGACACCCATCCAGATACCTACACCCTCAAGCACCGCCACATCTTAAGCTAGCCACTACTTAGCTAGGAAGAAATTTAAGAGAGACCGTTACAGAGTAGGTGTGACCTATCTTACGTAAAGCGTAGATATCTTCAAATTCGTTTTGCTCCTGTTTAAAAAAGATCTCGTAAATAGAATCAAATGACATCATTGAAAAACCAATACATTAGTCGCAATTAACTGATCACTATATGTTAAAATCGTAACCATAATTCTATCTATATTTCTGCAGTTCAAGATTTTGAGCTAGATAGACGTTAGCTATCCTATTTGTGATACAATCAACAATGATCATGTCATGAGAAGATAAATAATCATAATGACATGATTGAATCAAATTGAAACACTGATTTTAATCTTCTTTCAAGAAGTGCTCTTCGACTATTTTTCAGTCTTAATTCGCCATTCACATACGAACTACTTATTCAAACAAATGAATTTTAAAAATCATTTTGTAACAATGTAGACATGTTTACTTCATTAAATGATGGAAATTGAATATTCCTGTCTCTGCTTATGATTTTATAATTATTATTTCAACGTACAATGTTCATACAGTATTAAATTTTTCAATATAAAAGAGTTCAATTGTATGAAACTAATCTTACATCTCCGTAGGAAATATCTTTAAAAGGCTTCAAAATTTTACTTTTTCAATTTTATGATTGACACTTATGAAATTACTTTATTTGTTGTATGCTTTGTCCATTAGATGTGTTGAGTTGCTATTAAAAGTAGAAAAAAAAACATTCATAGTTGTCAGTCATGCTGTACATATTTTTCCTTTGTTATTGTGTTGTTTTTTCTTCTTCCGACTTGTACATGATGTCATAAATGTAAAAATGATTTGTCATCAGTTCAAGTAAGGTAATATTAAGCAAGTCTTTTTTTCTAATCTTTTCTGTTGAAATATATATTAATACAATTCATCGTTCATAACGCTTCTTATAAAACAACGAAATAATGGCTACCCGCAAATACAGACTTGCTCAACCGACATTATTAGATGATAATTTCTATAATGTGCATCCAACCACAAACTCATTCAATCAAATCGTCATCGATCTTAGAAAACAGCCTCAACATGACAACTATCCTTTCAGGAATGGTAATATGCAGCGGACGTCAATAAATAGATTTTCACATCAGCAGTGGAGAACAGATTATATGGAGGAACTAAGAAACCCTCACCGTGTAACACGAACTACGCGAAACTATCCAATAATTGAACAGCCTTTACCACAAAAACATAGAAAAAAACATCGATGTGATTGTGATTGCTGTGACAATCATGGAAATTCAAATTGTTCCAGTATCGATTGCTTTTGTTGTGGAAGTTGTGTTGACGATGATAATAATCAATCAACATGTTGTGATTGTAATGGAGACACTTGTTGTTCTGCGGAGGATGGATGCTGCTGCTGTAATTGCGACACTTGTTGGTCTGCGGAGGATGGATGCTGCTGCTGCTGTAATTGCGACAATTGCGACTGCGATTGCTGCGATTGCAGCGATTGCTGCGATTGCTGCGATTGCTGCGATTGCTGCGATTGCTGCGATTGCTGCGATTGCTGTAGCTGTGACTGTGGTAGCTGCGATTGCGGTGGTTGCGATTGCGGTGGTTGCGATTGTTGACTGCGCTGGCGTTTGCTGTGAATTTTGTTTTCAATATGCTTTATTTCTTGTAGTTGACATAGGTCTTTCTTTATTTTACAATAAATTCGAGCCATGTGAATCTAAGGCTGTGGGTGTGCATGTGAACGGAGAATCTAAACACACTCACATCCAGCTACTTCTCCCCCCAATAATGATATCTTTATTCAGCATCTTTCAATATTTTACTTTTTATTTTTTTAAAGTTTTTTCAACCAAAGTTAGTTGAGAATTACCATTCAATTCAATTCATCTGAAAGATTCTTTTCTACAATTATTTTTAAAAGATGAAACTAGGTTACGAAAACCTTCACTGGATTCTAAAAAAAGAGTAGATTGCTTTTCTATTCAGTAAAACATTGCAGAATAAATGAGAAAGATATGGGTGAGAATCTTCTCTACACCCACATCCACATTCTCAAGGCAAAGTGTTTGATAATGTATAATTTCGATAAGAAAATTGAGAAATATACTGAGGGTGCGCAGAAAATGTTTAGGATTATTCATAAAACTAAATAACCTCGAGGTAAGAAATATTTTTCTCTTTTCATTTGTGTATGAATAATCACTATTGCATATATACAAATACTTGAATACTGCGTAGTTGATGATATATTTTTAATAGTATTTATGCAAATATTACTACCTTTGCTGTATTATATCAAGAAGAAATAATATTATATAGAGAATGAGTCGATTAGAGATTTTTGTAAAAGAATTACCACTAAATCAACAAAACAGCAACCCTTCACATGAATAGTAATAATGGATGAAATGTGATATCAAAGCGTATTTTAGTTAAATATTCACAATTCTGTAGAGTATCTTTTTTTTTTTTGTTTATTGAAGAATTATAGAAAAAAAACAAGTGTATAAAAAGGTATTATTCAGTATTTAAAGGTATTTTAGAACGAATAAGTGCAAACAGTAGATTCTTTACAATATAAATTCAAATTAAGGTAAGCTTTTATGTTAATATTTTCATTGAAAGGTGGTACAGTGATACTGATTTAAATGACACAGACTATCTCTTGTTAAGATTGGTGATTTCAATCGGTATAAACAATATCAGCGTATAGTTGAACTCATTTC